ACCGTTGAACAAACTGTTGATTCATTGTAACAGCACAGTGAAATAGTTGATGAAAGTAAGAGAGAGAAATAAAATCCAACAGGATAGAATATTCTTTCTCATTCTTGTATTATTATGTTTCCACTCACAGCTTTCTTGTCTCATGAGGACCGTTAAATTCACCTCCTTCCTCTATTAAACATACACTATCAAAATACAAAACAACATTAAATAAAATAGGATAAAACAAATGCCCCAGTTTCCTCACTAACAACAACAACCTGTTTACAAATCTTTTAAATAATATATATATAATTAATTTTATGTTGAGTTATAATTTTGAATTGAAAGTATAACTAATTATGTCCCGACACTATTATAAAATATATTTTTGTATCACGATTGGAAGAAATTTTTTATCATAGTTGGAGATGTGTGGTAATGAATATTGTGATAGTAAGTGTTTTATATTTAATCACGGAGAAGTAATTGTAGTAAAAATTATATAGTGCCCAACATATAACTATGGTTGTAAAATCCAACTTTGGTAGAGAGTGGAATGTTCATTTGTTCAATATCCAACGACAACATTTTTGCATTTTCAAATGAAAAATCACTATATTTCACCACGGTTATAGCTTCCAATTGTGCCCAACGTTTAACTTATGTGGAAGACTTATCATCCACTAATCATTAAATATATAATCTTTAAATCTGATTTAGAAAATAATAATATAACAAAATAAGTTATATTAGAAGAACAAGCTACACTAATCAACATTTTTTTGAGATTTTTGCAATTCATTATTTGTATCTCAATCTTTAACAATTAGAATTTGTTTCAACAAAGAATAAGAAGTATTGAACCAAATTTTAACCTATAAAGAGTGAGATGCAAATGGTGAGTTATAGAAAGCTCGAAAAATATTGATTAATGTAAATTGTTTCTAATATAACTTAATTTTTTGTATTATTATTTTATAATTCAATTCTAAAGGCCAAAAACTCACCCGAACAAGTGAGATAGATGCCACACTTGTTTTTCAACAGAACTCACACTTGTTTCTCAATAATAATTCCCTCAAGTGTGAGTACATCCATTATGTTTCACATCAAGAAGAAGCTCTTTCATCCACATGCTTGTACCGCCGTTGACAAATACCCTTACTCGTCATGGGCACTAAAATAGGAAATGTCTCTTGACCACCATTATGTTAGGAAAACTTTCAATACAAGGAGTCAGTCCCTTACTCGAACTAGACTCTGATATCATTGATGGGTCATCATAAGAGGGAATTATTCACAAATCATTCACATTGGATCAAACAATCACCTAAAGGTCAAAGACTCACACAAACAAGTGATAGAGACACCACATATTCACTAAAAACCTTAAGGTGATATAACGAAATGTATTTCAATTTTAATTTTAATTTTCTAAAAAATGTGGGGCATGATTTGAGTGAAACCTTGGCTAAGAGAATGCTATTAAATCATAGAAGAATTAGGTTATGGTTTGAGTGAAGACTTTAAGGAACCTCAACAAAAGTCTCAGTCAAGGAAAGAAAGGAAAATTTGTATGTTTGTTAAGCCAAAACACATTTTTTTGGAGAGTATTATATGGCCATGATTGTTCGTTTCCAAATGAAGTAGGCATTTGTAGTTGACATATATAGTAAGTTACAATTGTCCATGAAATTCACAAAGATTAACACACCGAATAGGATGGAGGTGCTTCCTCTTTGATCACTAGGGAGAAAGATCTCATTGAAGTTTCATTGGAGAAACCAAGGGTCAATGATCACATGCCCAAGTTATCCACTATAATTCCAAACAAAAGTACGAGTTAAGGGGTTTGGGTTGACATAGAGAACACTGTAGACAATATTTGCTTCCTCTCTATTAGTTGTGAAAGTAATTAATTGGTTGTTATGGTCGATGATATTATAGGTGACAATAGATGATATTTAGTTAAGAAGTCAAATACCTTCTAAATGTACATTGATTTCAACAATAAGCACAAGAGCATAGCCAATGTTGACCTTGAGTATATAGATCCTAGAAAAGGAGATGTGAGTTTCAATGATGAGAAGAAATACAAAGTTGTGAGTTTCAATGATGAGAAGAAATACAAAGTTTTACTTTCTAACCGCTTTTAGTATGTCTTTTAGAAACCACGATGACGAACCATTTATGGTTCTAAGAAAGGATACAATTTTTGTTTAGGACTTCCATAAACATAAGTTTTGAAAATGATCAAAATTTCGACGGTTAGGTTAAGTGCCATATGCTCTTTCTAATTTTTTAGAACATTTATTTACTTTTTCAATAATGTCAATATCATCATCTTCACAATCATAAACAGATAGTTCTTTTGGTTAGTCGTTGTTAGGAGAATCAATCATGTGACTAATATGGGTTCTATGTGGTGAATGTGATTTGTGGGGGTAGAAGATGTTGGTTTTTGTTGAGGTGAGATTTTTTTCCGAAACTTGTGGCTTACCTTGTATGAGATAATGTTTGATGAGTCAAATGTAAGTACCGAGGACTGCCTAATATGACTTTTTCTTCATCCACTGCTTGATTAAATTTTACCATAAAAATCTATTATCATTGTCCATGATCTCAAATCCTCCTTACAATTTCCAAACTATATAAAGGTGTTCCTTCGTAGTGTAATACTTGATTTTTTTTCCAAAAAATTTAACAATAACAACGTGGATTAAAAAGGTACACGTATTTGAATAACGTTGTTTTAAGATAAACGTTAAGTAATAGTCTATTTTATTTTCAAGTTTTATGCAAATTAGATTTTTGACAATTATATCCTCTTTTTCACGCATAATAAAGATTTATGATATCTCAATCAACTTGTCACATTGATCCGCTGTCGCGCGCGGATCAAAAACGAGTAATTTTAGGAAAATGCAGTACAGCGACAGTGACTCGGAATATCGTCTCACAAGGATTCTTGTAGTGATTGACCAATAAAGTAACAATTTATGGGGGTTTGAATTTTGATTAAGAGAAAAAATACTGAAAATAAGTGATTATAAAAAAAATGATTATTAAAATAAGTCAATCTACTGTTTTCGGTTCCGGCTTATCACGGGTTTCTACCTTACCAATTTCCTAAGCGGCTTCGATCTCTATTCGATTCCTATGTCAATTGACAAGCGCAAAAGACATAAACTAGATTGACAATCCTATATTCCAAATTAAGCAAACGGATTAAGTTTTCGTGAATTAAGCAAACACGAATTACAAACGCGAATTAACGACAAAGCGACGTAACGGCGAATAAAAGTTAAGGATGCAATCATACGAATTTAATCAAAACAATTCTATAAACTAACAGATTAAGCAAATGCAATTCATAGAATAGTATTGAAAGAGAAAGAATTAAATTGATAAAGTATAAACCTCAAAGCGTTGGGACGCGATTACAGCATATTGACTCTTTGGGATTAGTCCTCCATTCGAATAGTACAAGCTTCCAAATATTTTTTTTGTGAATAGTGAATAGGATTTTTGGCTGTCCGGCCAGACCTAGACTAAAGAGGAAAAAAACCAGAATTCGGGTCATAACCCAACTGGGTCGAAAATATAACCCAGACCCAAAACATGACCCAAAACTAAAACAAATTCCTAATGCTGTAACTTGAAACGGAATTCTGGAATTTTGAGCTCCGAATCTGATTTCGGCTCCAACACGAAAGTCGTAGCTCTCTCTCTTAGCTTTCCGGCGGTTTTTTGAACGCCTCAAACGGATTCCCGGAGCTTCAGTTATGATTGTTTCCGTGCAGACTGCTAAAGCTGAAAAATAAAGTGCGAAAATCAAATTAAACCAAAAATAAAATAAAATGTAAAAACATAATAAAACATAAAAATAATCAAAATAAAGTAAAGAAATGCCTAAGTAAAAATATAGGAGAATTTGCATAAATATGCACTGATCACACATAATAAAATTGTCGGTGGAGATGGTGACTTAGAGATGTCACAAGATTTCTCTATGGATTGAGATCAATTTTCTCTTTTAAAAAAAAACAAATTTCGCTTCCGTTACTTAAAAAAATATTAAACTTTTGTTCTACTTTTCTAATTTAAAAATAATTTTTTATTAATATTTTCAAAACATTTCTCTCTCACTCTTCAACCATTAAATTTGAAAGAAAAATAAAAGAGATTAAACTTTTGTTCTACTTTTCTAATTTGAAAATGATTTTTTATTAATATTTTCAAAACATTTCTCTCTCACTCTTCAACCATTAAATTTGAAAGAAAAATAAAAGAGATTGAGTTTGATAATTAACATATTGTAATTGAATAAAATAAAAAAGATCACAATAGAAAAAATCCATTTCTCTTCTATTCATAATTGATAAAGTTGAATTCAAAGTTCAAAGACATTAACAATATTAAATTTTCCTTTTTGGTGGGTCACTTTTGACTACATTGATATATTACTAGTAAGCTAGGGACCATTACCCCAATTATTCAATTAGTATTATATTGTGATAAGGCATGATTCTTGCACCTCTTGATGTGTGGTGTTCTTTCATGTTTTTTCAACTAAATAAAATTGCACTTTTCTTCCTCTCTTTCTTTCTCCATACTCTTTTCTGTCAGAAAGAAAAAACTTCCCATCTTTTCTATAACCAATTTTGAATTTTAGTAAGTTCCCAACTTTATAAATTTTCTTTACCAATCACTTCATTTTTCCACTTACACCCCACTTTCTACTTTCTCTTCCTCTTCTCATTGCTTCTTCTCATAACCAAAGGAGGCAAAACCAAACACATTAAAGTTTGCAACTTTCTGACACCATCTTTATAGCATTAATCTCTTAGTATCTCAAAAATGCTTCTCTTGTATTGGCTACACTTAAAGTTTCAAACTTTAAGCTACCCCAAATAAACCCACTTTGAATTCAAGTTCCATTAGATTAGATTCACCACAAAAACAAAACAACAAAAAAAAACCATTTCTTTTGTCTTTGGAATCTTGAGATTCTTTCCATGAACGAAGCTCACACTGAAATCACAATTCCTCACTTGTTTAGATGCCCCATAAGTCTTGATTTGTTGGAAGATCCAGTGACTTTAACCACTGGCCAAACCTATGATAGATCAAGCATAGAGAAATGGATTTCCGCAGGTAATTTCACATGTCCTGTAACAATGCAGAAGCTTCATGATTTATCTTTTGTTCCTAATCATACTCTTCGCCATTTAATTAATCAATGGCTTCAGCTTGGTTCACAATTTCATCACCCTTGTAATAATAACATCTCTGCAACCATAGATTACTTAGCTACAATAAAACACACCCTTGAATCTCATGATTCATCTTTAGAAACCAAGTTCAAAGCACTTGAGAAAATCAGTGTTCTTTCTGATGAGTATTGTTCTTTCAGAAAATCTTGCTTCCAACAACTTTGTTTCTTAGCTTTACTTTTGGAACTTGTTTTTGGTTTATCAGATTCACAACTCTCAGAAAACTATTACATGGAATTCATGGAGTTAGCACTTTCTTGTATTCTTAAACTGTTGCCTATTGTAAATTTGGAGCCTCTAAATATCATCAAAGATGAATCAAAGTTGAAAAAGTTCATATTTTTATTTGAAAAAGGAACTAGTTCAATGAAGACTAGTTTGTGTCTTGTTATAGATTACTCAACAACAACATCACAAACAGAAGAGGTTTGTGAAATACTAGGAAACTCACAAAAACTAGTCCATGAAATTGTTCAGGTTGTTGTTAACAAAAATTGTGATAATCTTTCTGAGGCTGCAATTAAGGCCTTATCAGCATTATGTTCATTGGAATCAAACAAAGAGAGTTTAGTGAAAGGAGGAGCAATATATGGAATCATAACATATATTTCAAGATGTGATACAACAAGAGAGAAGAATTTGGCTCCACTTGCAATGACAACAATGATGAAGCTTCTGGTGTTGGAGAGTGGTAAAGAGGCATTGGTGAATCATGTGAATGGTATTGAAACTTTGGTGAAGATGGTTTTTAAGGTATGTAATCAAGAGTGTAGTGAGAGTGCTGTTGGGATACTTTCTATTGTTTGTAGTGATTTTGGGAGTGCTAGGGAGGTAGCTATTGGAGCTGGTGTTTTGAGTCAGTTGTTGTTTCTTTTGCAGAGTCAGTGTGGTACTAAAACTAAAACTAAGGCAAGAATGTTGCTCAAGTTGTTGAGATCCAAGTGGACTGAGGAATCAATGCATTAGTGTTTGTTTGGAATCATGGTTCATAGTTTTCATGAAGATCCATAGTGATAAATGTACTCTTGTGAATAATAGTAGTACATGATTATTGATCAGTATTTGATTTGATGGGTATGTGAGTATTGTTTTTGCTTTATTGAGTGGTAATGAATTCTCATAATATAACACTGAAAGTAAATTGTAAAAAATAAAAGGATATCTTTAGAAAGATTGCATCAGAGATTTATATAGATTTGTTCGAACATTGACCTAGTCATGTCCTTAAGAGGTCTTTTTGAGAGTTATGACTATAAACTTTTTAGTTTTTAAAGATTAAATCCACGAACTTTAATACAACCCGATCTTGAGATTTCTAGCAGGCTTATTCCCAACCAATGACAATTTTGACCCCAGGCTAAGCTAACAAATCGTTTAGAAATTTATGGCTTATCTCGGTAATCAAAACAAAGTTTTTTTTGGCAAAGCTTAAAAAACCAAATGCATAGATTTTATGACAGATTTATCTCAAGAACCATACTCTATCTCTTAAAAGTATTGCACTCTTAAGAATATAAACGACCAGTACGACCACATACAAAGATTCTTTTCCCATAAATAAAGCTTCACTTACTAGCACTAAGGCAATATAAAGTGAAAGAAAATATTTTTAAAGAGAGAGGGAGAAAGATAAATTTCAAAGAAATATGAAAATGTTGGAAAGCGGTGTGATTTGAAGTGAAGGCGTCCCTCCTTTATATAGTAGGAAAATTTAGAAATAGAAATGATCCATGAGCCGAATTAATTATCTAAATGATTAGACAACTCATTTTTAATCGATTACCATGCCCAAATATGAAGTTTTGGATATATAGTCGTTGCAAGTCATTAATGTGTTGTCATTTTATTTCATTAACTGATTAGCTTGATGTTCTAATCAATTGGATGGATCAAAAAGGTTTTTCCAATTGATTTGCATAGTTGACTAATCGGTTGGTTAGTTAAAAATGGTTTAAAGGGTTGAACAACATTTTACTCACTTGTTTAGGCTTAGAAAATGATTTTCAAGTTTAAACACATTTGAGAAAGTATTTTTAGGTGTGTGTGTGAGTTGCCTTAGTACTCTTAAGATACTTCATTATTTTGACAATACTCGAGTCACTATGATAGACAGATATATATATGACTTGCCGAGTTTTCACACCTTTCTCCAAGACATCAAGACTTTTGCTAAATAGTTTATGATTTGAACATGCACTTGATATTGATTCCTTTTGTTGATGAGTCTTAAGATACTATTGTTACCATCATTGAGGATGAAAATTATTGTCATGCAGTGTCGTCATCAATACTTCATATGTGGAAATTCATAACCTGCAAGCACATAGATCCATGTTCTCTCCCTTTTTATGATGACAACACATCTCTCATCGGGGAGGGGTGTGACAAAAATAGATACAAGTATTTTTGGAGAATCAAACTCCCCCTTAATTAATCAGAGAGTATACTTTACTCCCTTGAGAGTATACTTTTCCCATTTTTTCGAAATCAAAAAGGTAAACATGGTCAAAGCAGATAGATTCCATATAAAAGGAACAAGTTACCTTATAGTTATGGATATGAGCAATAAAGTGTAAGGAGTAAGTAATAAGATCTAAGATTTTATTTCTCCCTACAGAAGGTAGCATTAAGCTTTGAAATACACAAGTAGGTAAGTTTTAGAGAACTTCTTACCCTTGATTCTTTCTTGAACAGAACTTCAGAGTCTTTGAAGCTTTCTAAAGAGGGAATTATGTTGACTACTTTGTTCTTTCTCATATTCTTTCCAATGGATAATCATTTTGTTTTAGGAAATCTTTTAGACAACTTTTTTCAACCTCCTTGAACTTTAAATTAATATTGGACTCTAGGCATGTTGTATTTGGCACCCTTTTGCTCAAAATAACTTGAAAATCAATCATATGTTCGTAGAAAATTTAACTGACTAAGTAGTTGATAAATCACATACTAGAAAATCAATAAGACTTTTTCAATTTTGCAACCTCTATTAAATGTACTACCTCAAAATCTCAAGGTAACTTGAGAAACTTCCCCTTTCGAGGAAACAAAAAGCCACCATCGATTTTCCTTCTCTATGAATCATTTAATACAACAATTGGTTCAAATAAAGGACTGACAAATCCATTACAAATTTATCATCTTCGCCTTTTAATAGGTTCCATGATCGTAACCGTTCAGTGATATCATAAACTTCAACACTTTGATTATATCTCTTGAGAGACATCATCAACAAAAAAAAGCATTTAGATAAATGCCAACAAGTAACTACTTCTTCTTGTACACCTAAGATATTTCAGGAAGCTCTCATATCTTTTGCTATTAGAAACGCCCATACTAAGGGAGTGTTAGATGTATTTCCTTTAGAAATATATCCATTAACATTTTGAATGATATGGTCCTTAATTATCCTCTATTATTTAGTTATACATTGATTTTCTTAAGTTGACTTATTTAACTTAAATTTCTTCATTTGGACTTTTGACATTTTTCTTTCCTTGATTGTCATCTTCCAATGATGTTCTCTAAGAGATACTTGCAAAAGTAACAGCCTCTACTTCTACCTACTAAGGGTTAGTTCACCAAAGGTAATATGTATGAGTTCTTCCATAGTCATGGTAATTTCGAAAAGAGGTTTTAAAAGGATTTTAAATTAAGATTTTTATTGACCATGCATATAGTTGAATTAAACATACTTTATTACCTTTGTTACACAACTTACTTAATATTAAGTAACTTGTTTAATAACTATATAATTAATCAGGATAACTAAAAGTTAAGATTAAGGATCTTACCAAGACTCAAATATCCAATTATTTTTTCTTTTTTGCATTAGGAAAAATGAATTTCTTCCCTCGTAGGAAAGGAACAATATAACATGTTTATTTCTTCACTTGAAATGCAATTCTCGGTATCATCATCTGCATCACAATTTGACTTTTCTACCTTTGGTACTCATATCTTTTTGAGTACTTTGATGTTAATGGAATACATATTATGAACATACATCTTTCTATTTTTACGTTCACAATGTTCTTTATAAAAGTACGAAGGAGGATGCCCTTCTTTGCTCTCCTGACTCTTTTTGATAAAGCAGAACATGAAAATATGTTCGTCTTTATTACAGTAATTACATTTATATGTCAGTTGGTAATTGAAAATATTGCTAAAGTTTTTACCTTAGTTCTTAGGTTCATAACCAAGACCAACATTATTTTAAGAAACCATTTGGTTTCCTCACAAAAGAGTTAAGTCGTTTGTTCCTTTAGTGAATTTATCAAGTGTGTTTTGAAGATCATCAATTTCATTTTTCATAATATCACATTGATCTCACTTAATAGATTTGTCCAAGGCTTTATGAGATGAAGAAGATTTTTTAATTAGATCATATTGTTTCTCTATAAGACTTTCTATTTCTTCCAATAGGTTTTATTTTTGAATTCAGGGGAAAAGATATTGTCTTTGGAGGCAGAGATGATTTGTTCTAATTTTCTTGTTTCTTTTGTTAACTTCTTACAAATGCGAAACAAATCTTGATAGATGAAGTGAGAGGTTACCTCACAGTCTTGATGATTTTTGGTGAGACAGAGGTTTTCTTTTTCTTTATCTAAAAATTCCTTATCAGCATTATCCCATGATATGTACACTATCTTTTTGGAATTCTCGATCTTTCTTTGAATTAGGTTTCTTCTCAGGTTTTGAGGGAAATTTGATATTATATACCCTTTCCCTCAGCATTTATGACATGTACGAATGGATGATGAGTTTTCTTCACTTTGCTTCTAGAGTCTGAATGTTTTTTCCGTGCCTTAGGAACTCCTTGAATCTTTTAAACATGAGCTTCACAAATTTATTAATCTCACTTTGACAGTCTTCGTCTTCTGATTCCATATCTTTGATGTTAGTAGCTTTAAGTGCAATTCATTTCTTCTTCTTCTTTTTATCTTTTTCATCATCAACATGTCTTTTCAGCTCCATCTCAAGTTCGTGAAATTTTCCAAAGAGAATGTGTGTCAATGGTTGCTAAATTCTTAGTTTCATAAATTGCATTGACTTAGGTTGCCAACTACAGTTTAGGAATATAACAATCTTTATAACCAATACTTTATTTTGAATTCTTTTCCCAGAGTTCTCGTATGACTCACGATATGGGTAAATAATGTTTGCATCTTGTTAATGCTTTCTTTCGGTTTCATCCTGAAGAGTTCATACTCGTGATTTAATGTGTCAAACCTTGATCTCTTCACCTAATTAGTACCTTCATGGGTGATTTGAAGGATATCCCACATTTCTTTTGCAGTGATAAAGTCGTAAAAACTCATCAAGAACGAGAGCAGTAGTGATGACAAATGCGCTTTCAAATTGCGCTGCACATTTTCTTTATCATCCTTGGTCCAATTATTTTCAAGTTTTTTTTATGCAACATCGTTAACTATGTGTGTAGGAACAAATGAACCTTCATTCAGAGCCTTCCACATACCACGATTTGTCCCTTCAATGAAAAAATCCATTTTCTCTTTGCACAAACTATACCTTTTTCCATTAAAGAATAAGGGTTTATTTAGTAAATAGCTTGAAGTAATTTTTCCTCTGAGACAATTAGTCCTTAACCTGAGTTAGGCTATGATGCCACTTGTTGGACAAGTGACTTGAGAGTTGTCAATCATGCTTCTAATGAACATGTGTTCTTGGATAGTTGAAGAAAACTTAATGAACCATTGTCTTAAAGTCTTCCTTAGGCATTAATTTGATTTACTCAATTTGTAGAATCTTGGTCTCCATTTGATAGGATACCCCTGAGGCGAGGCAGTTGCATGAACACCTCCACATCTAAAGTTCCATTTAGAAATACATTTTTAATATCAAGTTACAACTGGTTTCAATTATTTTGAGCTACCAAAGTCAATAGAACTCTCACAGTACTCATCTTTTCAACTTGTGAGAAATTGTTAGGAAGTCAACTCCTACTT